AGGTGACACAGTACCCAGTCTCATGGGGATGGATGAGGACCCCCTTGCTGTCCCCCACCTCTGACCTATCCCATGGGGAACTGCTCTCCCACTGTGCTGGTGTCCCTGGGTGTGACGGGGGGGTGCCTCCCTGCCTCCCCCATGGTGACACCTCCATCTTTCTGTCCCAAGAGGATGTCTTCATCCAGCAGACACAGGACACCAAGAACCCTGTTATCTATGCCGTGTTCTCCGCTTCGGGGTGAGTGCTGACCCTCCCGCTACGGGGTGGCAGAGAGGGGGTCCCCAGCTGGGTGAGGGTCCCATGGCAGGCAGCGCCATGCTGGAGGGTGGCAGCAGGTCCTTCCTCCCAGGTCGGTCTTCAAGGGCTCTGCTGTCTGTGTCTACTCCATGGCCGACATCCGCATGGTTTTCAACGGGCCCTTCGCACACAAGGAGGGACCCAACTACCAGTGGATGCCCTACACAGGCAAAATGCCCTACCCCCGGCCAGGCACTGTAAGTACCCCCTGATGACACACGGGGAGCTGCGCCAGCGCCTGCTGGGTAGCTGACACCCTCAGACCCGTGCCCGGGTACTGGGTCACCAAGCGCAGGTGATGTTTGTGCCACAGTGCCCTGGGGGGACCTTCACCCCATCCATGAAGTCAACCAAGGACTACCCCGATGAAGTGATCAACTTCATGCGCGCGCACCCGCTGATGTACCACGCCGTCTACCCCACCCACCGCCAGCCTCTGGTGGTCCGCACCAACGTCAACTACCGCTTCACCACCGTGGCCGTCGACCAGGTGGACGCGGCAGACGGGCGCTATGAGGTGCTTTTCCTGGGCACAGGTACCCACGCCGCGCACCGCGGGGAATGCAGCATGCTCCGGCGCGGCCCCGGAGGGCATGGGCACCACCAGGGCTGGCCAGAGCACGGTGCCCACCGTCATGCTGGAGTGGGTCAAGGGGCTGAGACCCCCCCTGAGATCCCTGCATCTCCCTGGGGCTCCAGCCTGGTCCTTCCCCTGCCCTCGTGCTCATCCCATGGACCCCACCATCCATCCTGGTCCTTCCCCATGCCCAGTTCCCATCCCCAGGGCCAGCAATCCAGCATGATTCCTTCCATCCTAGAGATGCCACCACCCAGCCTGGTCCTCTCCCTGTCCCGGTGCCCATCCCAGGGGCCCCACCATCCAGTTTCATCCTTTCCTGACCCTGGTGCCCATCTTACAGGCTCTGTGATCCAGCCTTGTGCTTCCTGTTGCCCATCCTATGCCTGCCATCATCCACCCTCCAGCTTCCCCTGCCCAATTGCCCATCCAAGAGGCAGCAGCATCCCACCCTGTCCTTCCCTGGCCCCAGTGCCCATCCTGGGGACACCATCACTCAACCTGGTGCTTCCCCTGCTCTAATGTGCATCCCAAAGTCCCCATGATCCATCCTGGTCCTTCCCCTGCCCTGGTGCCCATCGCTGGCTGCTGTCCCCACCTTGCCCTGGGTGGTGGCAGTCCCTAGCCACAGGTGGTATGACCTTAGCCAGTACGCTGCACCCCAGGCACAGCCACCTGCTGCAGTGGGAGAGAGATGGGGATGGGCTTTGGGGGGGCCCTTCCTCCCCCCAACCCCAGTAGGGACCCCCTTCTCAGGAGGGGAGGGCACGGGTTCCCAGGGGTGGCACTGAGCGTCTTGTCACCATGATGTCTTGCAGATCGGGGCACTGTGCAGAAGGTCATTGTGCTCCCCCGGGATGACATGGAGACAGAGGAGCTCATGCTGGAGGAGATCGAGGGATGGGCTTTGGGGGGGCCCTTCCTCCCCCCAACCCCAGTAGGGACCCCCTTCTCAGGAGGGGAGGGCACGGGTACCCAGGGGTGGCACTGAGCGTCTTGTCACCATGATGTCTTGCAGATCGGGGCACTGTGCAGAAGGTCATTGTGCTCCCCCGGGATGACATGGAGACAGAGGAGCTCATGCTGGAGGAGATCGAGGTGTTCAAGGTAAGGGTTGTCCTGTCCTCCACCTTCTGCTGAGAGTCCTCGATCCAGCCAGCCAGCCCCTTGGGACACCAACCACCCCTTGACTGGCTCTGGAGACACCCCAAGCATTTCTCCTCTTGCCTGCTGTA